CAAATGAAAAAATATGTCTATGTTTCAATAAAATTTCACTTCTAAAAAATAAGCAGAAACAATCAGAACACAATTAGAGAAAATGTTGACATTGTGGCAAATATAACTAATCTCACTGAACAATTTGAATAGAAATTGTCAAATGGGAAATGAATTTGTTGCATAAACTTTCACAAAAAATACAATAAAATATTATTTAACGGAAAAAAGGCTGAGGGACATATTTGGTCTGCCAAGTTAATTGGTACAGTCAAATAAGTTTGCCATCCCTCCTTGTTAAATGGAGAGATGGTGAGCATTATTTTTGTTCAGTTCCTTCTATTATTCAAATTCACAAGACTTAAGTATGTATGTGGAGTCCTGGTGTGATGCTGCGGGTTAATGCACTGGACTGCAAAGTCAGTCTGAATCGCAAGGTTGACAGTTCAAGCTTATCAACTGCTCCCCGGAAACCCTATACAGGGTCGCTATGGGTCGGAACCAACTCGATGGCATTTAATAACAAAAATAAATACATATACCAGAGTTCCAGCAAGATGGCAAACTATGCATACACACTATACAGATCCTCTTATAGCAAAGACATAGAAGACCAAATGAAACAGACACAGAGAACAACCCTGGAACCCTGATCATCAGAGGAAAGATTAGAGACGTGATGAGAATACCTACTTAGAGGAGAAGCTGAGCAGGGGCAGCAACAGAAAGAGGCAGACTGGTGAACGGACTGCTGGCCAGACAAGGCGTGTCCATCTTAAACTTTTGCAGGCAGCTTTGGAGAGGCAGGCAGACAGCACAGATTCACATGAGCAACTGCCTCTTAGTTGTACCTCATGAGTACAATTTAGTGTTCTGGAACACCCATTCTACGCATTTATCACAATGTTATCCATAGTTTGCTATGAACCACACAGCGTTTGCTTAATCAATGAAGCACAAATAAACATCTTTCTGCATTCATTACTTTCAGTCAAGATCCATTTCACATTAGCAATGATATCCTTCATTCCATGTCCTCTTCTGAATCTGGCTTAAATTTCTGGCAGTTCCCTGTCAACATATTGTTGCAACTGTTTTTAAGTTATGTTCAGCAGAAGTTTACTTGCATGTAATATTAATGATATTGTTCGATGAGGTCTGCATTCTGTTGGGTCATCTCCATTTGGAATGGGCACAAATATGGATCTCTTCTGATTGGTTTGCCAGGTAGCTGTCTTCCAATTTTCTTAGCTTAGATGAGTGAGTGCCTCCAATGCTACAACAGTTTGTTGAAAGATTTTAATATGTATTCCATTAAATCCTGGTGCCTTATTTTTCGCCAATGCCTTCAGTGCAGTTTGGACTTCCTCCTTCAACACCATCAACTCTTGATCATATACTCCCTCTTGAAATGCTTGAACATTGACCGTTTCTCTTGGGTACAGTGACTCTGTGTATTCTTTTGATGCTTTCTGCATCATTCAGTATTTTGCCCATGTTGTTGTTAAGTGCTGTTGAGTTGGGTTCCAACCCACAGTGACCCTCCAAGGAGTGGGTAGTGAGTTTGAACCACTGACCATGTGGTTCAAACCAATTTTGAAGTCTAGCGCATTAACCCACAGTGCCACATCAGGACTAGAATCCTTCAATATTACAAGTTCTTGTTTGAATTTCTTCTACAGTTTTTTTCAGCTTGAGAAATGCTGACTGTATTCTTCCTTTTGGCTTTCCAATTCCAGGTATTTGCACATTTTATTATAATACTTTAATTTGTCTTCTTAAGCTGCCCTTTGAAATTTGGTTCAGCCCTTTTACTTCTCATTTCTTTCATTTGCTTTAGCTTCTCTAAGCTTAAGAGCAAGTTTCCGAGTTTCCTCTGATATCCGTTTTGGTCTTTTGTTTTTCTTTGTGATGGTAATTCAAAAATCAGCTGCACCAATATATTGACAGGAAAGTACCAGAGGTTCAAACCGGATTCAGACAAGGACATGGAATGAAGGCTATCATTGCTGATGTCTAAAGAACCTTGGCTGAAAGCAGAGAATACAAGAAAGATGTTTACCTGTACTTAATTTACTATCAGTGGTTAACCATTCAAAAGTAGTCTGCCTCGCCTCCTTCCTAGTCTGGAAGCTCCACGGAAAGTTGTCCACGGTGCGTGACTCTGCTAATATATAAAATACTAGTTGCATAGTTTCCAGTATCATAGCAACACACAAGCCACAATGGTATGACAAACTGACAGACAAGTGGTGTCTTTGTAGGGCAACTATCTGAAAAAATAAGTTGAATCCCTGCCTAGTTCAAATACCAAAACAAAGATGGTCTAGACTAATGATTAAATGTCATACATAAAACAAGCAGGTAGATATAAAGGTATATCTGTTTCTGATTTAAGACCTTTATAGACATATATTAAGAAGCAATTCTATTCTGGACATAATTGATACACTTGAATATACAAAACAATAAAAATTTCTACATACAAACAATGTAGAAGACAAACAACAAACATGAGAAAACTACAGAGAATACTTACATACCTGTTATAGAAAGGTCAGTGCCAAGCAAAAAGAAATGGTAAAATACTATTAAATAATTTACTAAAGAAAAACTAATATAGTCAAATACATGTAAAAAAAATAGGCTCACAATAATGTTGTTGTTGCTGTTGTTAAGAAGTGCCATCAAGTGCCGACTCACAGCAACTCTGTATAAGGTTTCCAAGGAGCAGCTGGTGAATTTGAACTGCCAACCTTGAGGTTCAAACCAACCATGTGGTCCAGTGCTTATCCTATAGTGCCACACCAGGACTGAAGTTATTAAATTCATGAAAGATAAATTATGACAGAATGTTCCCATTTTTGTGTCCTATTCTGATGTTTTGACAGAGTAGTTATGAATCCTGCCTTACACATTTCAAGTGTGCAGATGTTTGGCTGTTGCAAGCCAGACTGCGTTCCCTCTGCCTCTTGTTTACTAAATTTTCATACTGAAGATATCACTCGTTCCTTCATTTAAGAGATATTTATTGAGTACCCAGTATTTAAGATTCGCTAGTCTAGATGATCAAAATATTAAATATTTCAGTAAGACAGCTTGCCTGTTAATCAGGGAGCATCGAATTCCCTCAATGTAAAGCATACATGGGAAAAATAACCCTGAGTTTTCCATAAGATAAGTACAAACACACTCCATGATGAATAAGGGAAATACCACATTTCCTTATGAAGGTCTAGTGTGGTGCTGGAGGATAAGCACTCGACCCCTAGGTTGATTTGAACCAAATGTCAGTGGCTCAAACTCACCATCTGCTCCTCGGAAAGCCTTTAAAGGGTCACTATGAGTCCGAGCTGACTCGACAGTGCTTAACAACAAGAAAAATAGATGATAAAAAACCTGAATACAGAGGTAAGAAGCTAAGATGGTCCATAGAATACAGGATTAATTTACAGATGGAGATGGACTTTCTTCATTCCGAGTTCTCCTATTCTAGTATTCTTCTCAGTAATTTCTTATGTCTGCCTGTGCTCTTCAGGAGCTCTGGTAGCATAGTGGTTATGAATCGGACTGCGAACCTTAAGGTCAGCAGTTCGAAACCACCAGCTGTTCTGTGGGAGAAAGATGAGGCTTTCTGTTCCAATAAATATTTACAGCCTCAGAAACCCTGTACAGGGTTGCTATGCGTCGGAACCGACTCCACAGCACATAACAACAACAACAACACCTGTGCTCCTTGGAGGCTAGGATGGCCACACTTTGTCTCTCATACTTCAGACATATTGTCAGGAGGGACCAGTCGCTGGAGAAGGATATCATTATCGGTAAGGTGGAAGGTCAGAGATGAATTGGCAAAGTGGCAGCATCAATGGGCTCAAGCGTGGCAATTGTGAGGTTGGCCCAGGATAAGGCAGTGTTTCATTCTGTTGTACATATGTTGTTGTTGTTGTTGTTATGTGCCGTCTAGTCGGTTCCGACCCATAGCGACCCTGTACAGGGTTTCCGAGGGTGTAAATCTTTACGGGAGTAGAAAGCCTCATCGTTCTCCCACGGAGCTGCTGGTAGTTTCGAACCGCTGACCTTAAGGTTCACAGCCCGATTCGTAACCACTACGCTATGAATTGGCACTGACTTAATGGCACTTAACAGCAACCTGCGATTGAGGACAAGGTGTGCCTGACCCAAAAAATTATTGTCTATAACTTTATTTACATGTGAAAGTTAGACAATGAATAAGGAAGACTGTAGAAGAATTGATGCATTTGAGTTATGGTGTTGGAGAAGAATATTGACATTACCATGGACTTCTGGCAAAGAACAAGCAGGTCTGTGTTGAAAGCAGTACAGCCAGAGTGCTCTTTAGAAACCAGGATGGTACGACTTTGTCTCTCATACTTCGCACATGTTACCAGTAGGTGCCAGTCCCTAGAGAAAGACATCATATTTGGTAAAGTGAAAGGTCAGTGAAAAAGAGGAAGACCCTCAATGAGATGGATTTGCATTGTAGCAGAAGCAGTGGGCTCAAGTGTAACAATAATTGTGAGGATAGTACAGGACCATGCCATTTTTTGTTGTATTGTGCATAGAGTCACTATGAGTTGGAACCGATTCAATTAAACAACAATTACTTGCTGTTACAAAAAAAAATGAAGCATTCATAGCTCTGTAGGACAAGCCCTGGATTGCTAGCCACAAAGTCAGCAGTTCAAACTCACCAGTTTCTCCATGGAAGAAAGATGAGGCTTGCTGCTCCTGTAAAGATTTACAGTCTTGGAAACCCCATGAGTCATAACCATCTCAACAGCACCTAACAACAACCTGCAGGTATTGTCTAGGTGGTGATTTAAATGAGAAATATATGTGCTGTTGTTTTTGTAGCAACCCCGTGTGACAGAATAAAACTATCCCATAGGTTTTCTAGGCTGTCATTTTTATGGGAACGGATCTCCAGGTCTTTTATCCATGAAACTGTTGAGGGGTTTATGTGTGGAGTATAATCATTTTTCATTCTTTGCTTTTAGGTATCGACTTATTGGTTCCTCATCTGCTACTTGTGACCTCACAGGCAATAACGTCAGTTGGGATAAAGAGGCACCCATTTGTGAGAGTGAGTTGAAAATATTTCCCCCTAAAGCCCTACATTTGATCCTGATTTGCTCCTGGAGTTATGAACAATAAATGTAGTCCTCCTTGAGCAGAGCAAGTCCTCAGATATTTGAAACGAGTTACGTGCTGTATAATCATCCTGGTTTACATTAAAAGACAATTTCTCTGAAACTGAGGACTTGAACTCAATTAATATAATCCTGTTGTCTTGCTTTAAATTACTATAATCCACAATAAACATCATTTTCTGTAGTGAATAAGTTTTTTAAAAACTAGAGAAAATTTGATGTGTCTCTCTGACAACTCTTAAAATCACATTCTAGTCCTAAGAAGTGGACCACTCCCTTCATTATTATTCTTACTTTAAACTGTATTATTCTTACTTTAAATAGTACTCTTTGTAACTCTCAGCAATTTCTCCAATTTTATAAGGCAGAATTTCCCCAATTCCTCTAGCCATTTTCAGCTTTAATCTTCCTTCACAATTCTTTTAGAAGTGTGGCCTTGATTGTATTTGTCCTTGATTAGTGGACACTTTATCTTCTGTATATAGTATTTTAAAGTGAGCCTCCACAATTTCAAGGAGCATGGGGAATGAATGATACCAAATTGGTACAGAGTTAAGGCTGTGAGGAATTCAGCATCACACAGAAAATTGGTAGGAGTTAAGAGTGGGCACAAACTCAAGAAGGTTAATGAGCAATAGATTTGTAAATACCCTTTCAACCAACAAAGACATAAATAAACACTTTAGTGAGTCAATTTGTTGTTGTTAGATGCCATTGAGTCGGTACTGACTCATAGTGACCTTATGCACAACAGAACGAAACACTGCCTGATCCTGGGCCACTCTCACTACTTTTGCCACACTTGAGTCCATCGATGCTGCCACTTGGCCAATCCATCTTGATGGGGGTCTTCCTCTTTTTCTCTGACCTTCCACCTTACCTAAACAGGATATCCTTCTCCAGCAACTGGTCTCTCCTGACAATATGTCCAAAGTATGAGAGACAAAGCTTGGCCATCTTGGCCTCCAAGGAGCACTCTGACTGCACTTCTTCCAAAATGGATCTATTGGTTCTCTTGACAGCCCATGGCACTTTCAATATTCTCCTCCAACACTAGAAATTCTGCTATGATCTTCCTTATTCACTGTCCAGCTTTCGCATGCATATGGGATTATTGAAAATACCATGGTTTGGGTCAGGCACACCTTAGTCCTCAAGCTGACATCTTTGCTCTTCAACAATTTAAAAAGGTCTTGTGCAGCAGATTTGCCTAATGTATTGCATCGTTTGATTTCTTGATTGCTGCTTCTGTGAGTGTTGATAGTTGATCCAAGAAGAATGAAGTCCTTGACAACTTCAATCTTTTCTCTGTTGATAAGAATGTTGTTTATTGGCCCAGTGGTGAGGATTTTTGTTTTCTTAACATTGAGATGTAATCCATACTGAAGGCTGTCCTCTTTGATCTTCATCAGTAAATGTTTTAAGTCAATTGTTGTTGTTAAGTGCCGTTGAGTAAATTCCAACCCATAGCGATCCTGTATAGGGTTTTCCAAGAAGCAGCTGGTGAACTTGAACCACTGACTTTGCAGTTCAAATGACTTTGCTGTCTGACACTTTAGCCCACAGTGCCATGCCAGAACTCCTTTAAGTCAATGTTGTTGTGGTTGCTAAGTGCCATCGAGTCGGTTCCAACCCATAGCGACCCTGCATAGGGTTTCCAAGGAGCAACTGGTGAGGTTGAACTGCCGACCTTGCAGTTCAAACGGCTTTGCAGTCTGGTGCATTAACCCACAGCGCCACACCAGGACTCCTTTAAGTCAATAGTGGCTATAAAAGTGGGTGTGTGTGTAGTCACATATTCCAGTAGCTTCAAAACTGCTATACTAACATTCTACTCATTTATCATTTCATTTATTATTGCTGAATCTGCGGGGAAGTATTCCTGCTCTCTCTGCGGGGGTCGTGGGACATGAGCGAATACACGGAATCGTAGGGTGAAGAAATGAATGCATACAATCAAAAGGCTTTTCAACTTGCCTTGCTGTCCGGCTATGCTCTCCAGCTTCTGCTACCTCTGCTTCTGATTTCTGCTCTTTGCTGTCTGTTCTCTCTGCTGTCTGCCCTCTCCCTTCTCCCTCCTGCTCTCTGCTTCTTCTCCCGCTTCTGCCAGTTCCTTCTGCTTCTTCTCTCTCTCCTTTCTCCCTGCTCTGCCCCTTCTGCCCCTTTCTGCTGCTTCTGCTACTTTTGCCTTCTGTCTTCTTCTGCCACCTTGCTCTGCCAGCCCAGCTCAGCAAGTCTTTATTTTTTATACTTAAAATTACACAGTACATGCATTGACAGTTTTATCATTTCTTGAATTATTACAGTTAGTCACAACATTCTTGCACCTGATCATTAGAGAGCCTTAACAAGAATACTCTGTGATGTTCAGACTGACCTTCATGTTCTTTCCCAGTATGAGATAAAACTGTTTCTTCTTGTTTCTACTAAAAGACTATAAACTTTCTATCCTACATAATGTGCTATTATTTTTATAATAAAGGTATTCATTAAATCACTTGGAAGCTATGTGGCATAAAGCCCAACCTGGCTACTTGCTGCAAGAAGTGTAGATTATTAAGTCAAAATTATCCTTCACTTAAGTTCATTATTGTCTACTTATTTATGCAGGTGCTTGTATGTAGGGGTTTGTGAATTCTAGCTAGTGACTGATTGTGGTGAGGTTTATGGGGGTAGGTCAGCTTGTCTCTAATATGCTATCTGTTTTTGTGGCCTCACAAATGCAGTTACTTAGGTTTTCTAAGGAAAGGGAGTAATTTATACAATTTCTCTTTGTATTCAATCCACCAAGGCTGAAAGCAATTGCTGCTAAGCTAGTTTTTCCTAAGGTTTGTAGAACTCATAGTGAAAAGCTGTGAACATTGCCAAATTATATATTTTTACAAGTAAATTTAAGAATACTCTATAGAGAAGGTAGAAAGCAACTTCTGAGAGCTATCTGTTTCGTGAGACTACTCTACTATCTACTGGACTGTGTCAAGCAGTAAATCGAAGCTGTCCTCTACCCTCATCGCTCCCAGCAGAATCTGTGATCATTTCATTTCTTATGCCTTATCTTTTATATAAGGAACTCTGGTAGCATAGTGGTTATGAATTGGTCTGTACACTGCAAGGTCAGCAGTTCGAAACTACCAGCTTCTCTGCGAGAGAAAGATGAGGCTTTCTGCTTCCTTAAAGATTTACAGCCTTGGAAACCCTGTTCAGGGTCGCTCTGTGTCAGAACCAATGGCACTTAACAACAACAACATCTTTTATATGTTTTGTCTCTTTTTGGTGAATACTGCCTGGGGTGGTATAGTTAACCTTCAAAGATAATAATAACAATAATAGCAAATAGTCTAAAGCTGGAGTCCTGGTGTGGCGCTGTGGGTTAATGCATTGGACTGCAAAGTCAGTGTGAACCACAAGGTTGGTGGTTCAAGATCACCACCTGCTCCTTGGAAACCCTATACATGATTGCTATGGGTTCGAACTGACTCAACAGCACTTAACAACAACGATAAAATCAGTATAAATGACCCATTCAAAATCACAGAAACAATATTACCATGAGGGTATCTTAACATGAAGTTAATTGCTTTGGTGGTGGTGGTGATGTGCTGTGGAGTCGGTTCCAACTCATAGTGACCCCGTACAGGGTTTCCAAGGCTGTAAATCTTTATGGGAGCAGAAAGCCTCATCTTTCTCTCACGGAACAGTTTGTTTCAAACTGCTGACCCTGAGGTGGTTGTTGTTGTTGTCATGTGCCGTGGATTCAATTCCAACTCATAGCGACCCTGTACAGGGATTCCGAGGCTATAAATCTTTACAGGAGCAGAAAGCCTCCTCTTTCTCCCGTGGAACAGCTGGTAGTTTTGAACTGCTGCCCCTGAGGTTCACAGCCCGATTCGTAACCACTATGCTACCAGAGCAACTGGATTTATAATGACTACAGACTGTGCTACCAGAGCTCCTGGGTAGAGTCAAATTATAAATACATAAATTTCAAATATGTAAAAATATGTCTGATTCTTAGTAAATATTAAAAGGAAACAGTACTGTAATTACCTTTAGCTTGGAAAGTAGTCTTATATTTTATGTCTCTTATTTAAATTCATAGTAAAATAACTCATCATAAAACAGTGTAAGCTGTTATTTAACAGTTTCCCTTTTCCCAGGCATATCTTGTGAGCCACCTCAACTGATAGACAATGGATACTTCCATAGCAGCAGTAGAACACTTTTTCCGTATGGAACAGTGGTAACATACTATTGTCATGTTGGACAATCTGGAGAAAAGCTGTTTGACCTTGTAGGAGAAACATCAATGTACTGTACAAGCAGAGACGATCAGCTTGGTGTTTGGAGCAGCGCTCCTCCTCAGTGTACTTCTCCTAATAAATGCACAACTCCACAAGTTGAAAATGGAATTCAAGAATCAGAAAATAGGAGTTCTTTTGCCTTAAATGAAATTGTGAGTTTTAGATGTCATCCTGGCTTTGTCATGAATGGTTCCAGTAGTGTGCAATGCCACACCAACAACAAATGGGTGCCTGAGTTGCCAACCTGCTCCAGAGGTAAGTTTGATCATTTGAGACTTTGCTTAGACAGTATGGGCAGTGATGAATGACAGGGCTTATTGAAATTAAGAAGGAAATTTCAGCAAATGTATGTGTGTATGTACACAATGAAATTGGTATAAATATTCTAACATAATACCAGCTTCATTATCTGTCTTCTAATAATAATAGTCAAAAAGCAATGGTATGCTTTGTATCTCATCTGTGATAAATACCTTAATATGAATTACATAGCTATTTATAACAAATGCATAAGGAATGATTCTTATCTCCATTTTATAGTACGAAAACTAAATAATAATGTATAATGATGGTGATAATGGTTCTATTGCTAGGGGAAGACAACAGGAAAATGAGCCACAGGGACTGAAATCATATTCAAATATATTAGAAACACTTCCACCCTTCTCTTCCAACTCCACGTCTTGGTACTGACAAACCTAAGCCCTGCAAAAGGGAAGTTAAATTACTTGTTCAAATCCAAACAATTTCTTTTTCAGTTTTCTTCCATCCTGATTAAGATTCAGATTGAGGCTTAAATGTGTCCAAATGTCCCAAGCATTTCAATTGTGTGGATCATGACAAGCTATGGACAACATTGCAAAGTACGAGTATTCCAGAACACTTAATTGTGTTCATGAGGAATCTGTACCTGGACCAAGAGGCAGTTGTTCAAACAGAACATGGAAACACTGAATGGTTTACAATTAAGAAAGGTGTGTGACAGGGTTGTATTCTTTCAGCATACTTATTCAACCTGTATGCTGAGCAAATAATCCGAGAAGCTGGGTTCTATGAAGAAAAACTCTGGCATCAGGATTGGAGGAAGACTCATTAACAACCTGCGATATGCAGATCATACAACCTTACATACTGAAAGATAAGAGGATTTAAACTACTGATTAAGGTAAAAGACTTCAGTATGGATTGCATCTTAATGTAAAGAAAACAAAAATCTTCACCACTGGACCAATAAACAACATTCTTACCAACAGAGAAAAGATTGAAGTTGTCAAGGACTTCATTTTTCTTGGTTCAGCCATCAACAGTCATGGATGCAGCAGTCAAGAAATCAAACAACATATTGCATTAGGCAAATCTGCTGCATAAGACCTTCTCAAAGTGTTGGAGAACAAAGCTGTCAGCTTGAACACTAAGGTGTGCCTGACCGAAGCCATGATATTTTCAGTAATCTCATATGCATGTGAAAGTTGGACAGTGAATAAGGAATATCATAGAAAAATTGATGCATTTAAATTATGGTGTTGGAGAAGAATATTGTAAGTGCCATGGGCTGCCAAAAGAACAAAGAGATGTATGTTGGAAGAAATGCAGCCAGAATGCGCCTTGGAGGCCAGGATGACCAAACTATTTCTCACATTTCGGACATATTGTCAAGAGGGACTAGTTACTGGAGAAGGATATCATGTTTGGTAAGGTGGAGGGCCAGAGAAAAAGAGGAAGACCCCCAGCGAGCTGGATTGGCAAAGTGGCAGCATTGATGGACTCAAGCGTGGCAACAGTTGTGAGGTTGGCCCAGGATTGGGTAGTGTTTCGTTCTGTTGTGCATAGGGTTGCTATGAGTCGTTGATGGCAAGTAACAACAACAAAAACAAATGTCCCAAGCATACACCCATTGGGCTATGGATGGAGGTAGCCAACATTTGAGTCAAAATTCGCTCTAAGCAATGTTCTCTCAAGAAACTTGTAGCTTGGTTTCTATTTAATTCTCAGTTTTTTCTCTTGCCTTATGCTAAAATGGCTGGCATAGCAGCAGAGTGGGGAGAAGCCGGGAGGAACAAAGGAAGGAGAATACAGTGATGACTGATTAGTAAACTAGGTGAGGAGGGGCATGTTAGATGAGATTTGGGCAAAGTATCCCTTAATGTCATCCAAAAGGTGATGCCTGAAAGGCTTCCTCTCTAGGAACTGTAAGGGCGAGCAAGACATGCCCACTTCTGTGCTGAATGGTCTCTACTTGAGAGCAAAAAGAATTCTCAGACTTGTAGTCTTAGGAATGTATTTTAGAAAAAAAAGAGACACAAAGCGTTGGAGAGCCTTTGACTCTAATCACAACTGTATTTATTAGCTGAAATTCCTTGAATACATCACTTTGTTTCTGTATCCTTAAATTTTGTTATCAGAAAAACAAGGATATTGAACTACTGGAGATTTTAACAACTGCTCTTTACAGTGATGATGTTCAGGCTTCCTGGCAGACACCGAGTATAGCAAAACATATTTCTTCATAACTAGTGGGTACTTGGGTCCTGTTCTTTTCCTAGTGTGCCAGATGCCTCCAGAAATTCTCCATGGTAAATATTCCCCAAGTAACAAGGGCAGCTTTTCCCCTAAGGAGGACATTTTCTACAGCTGTGAGCCCAGCTATGATCTAAGAGGAGCTAATTCTTTGTATTGTATGCTCCAGGGAGACTGGAGCCCTGCAGCCCCCAGATGTGAAGATGCCTAGATACTCGGCTCATTTTCAGATCAAGTTCTGTATTGCTCACATGGCATGCATGTTCCTGTTTTTTTCTAGTGAAACCATGTGAAGACTTCCTGGACCAACTCCCTCATGGCCAGGTACTTTCTCCACCCAGTCTCCAGCTTGGAGGAAAAGTGTCTTTCATTTGTGATGAAGGGTAAGTGTTACTTGCACTAGAAGCCAGAGGATGAGTGATGGATAACTTCTCCTGGGGTTGGGAGTTAACTCATAGGTTAGCATGTGCTAATGGAAAAGAAGTAACTTCTGGATGAGAAGTTTTGAAACAAAGGTAAGGACTCAGTGGTACTACTTTGGGTGGTAAAGAGAAAATGGTACATATAACTTATTGTCAAGTATAAACATAAATACTATCTCTGACCTTGAATGCCTGGTTGGAACTTGAATACATAGTTTGTTGCTGACAGGAAAATGTCATTTTATGAAGGTTTGCTAGGAAAAAAGTTGATGTATAATACAAAAATATTTGCAATACAATAGGTCATGTAAGGCTTGTTTCAGAAAACTTAAAACTAATCAGTAGTGGAATTTATAATCGTACAAGCATTTTTAAAAAATCTAATAACATTAGGAGAGTTCAAAAATTTCCCGGAAAAAATAATGGAATTTTCCATGAGCTTTTTGAAGCCCCATCATAAACATTCATATTAATAATGGACTTTGTTTAACATTGGGTCTTAATGGCCTATGTTGTTGCTTTTGGTTGTATTATTAGCAGCAATGGGCTCAAGTGTAGCAACAATTGTGAGGATGGCGCAGTACCAGGCAGTGTTGAGCATAGGGTCACTACGAGTCAGAACAGATTCAATGACACCTAACAACAACAACATTGGTTGTTTAGAATCCTGGTGTGGTGCCATAGGATAAGCATTGGACTGCTAACCACAAAGTCAATGTTTGAAGCCCACTCACTTCTCTGCAAGAAGTAGAAAGAGTGGGAAGTAAAGTAGTGATTTTTAATATGAGGGGGGCTACAAAAAGTTCATGGAAAAGTTCCATTCTTTTCATTCCATTTTTCCACAAACTTTTTTTTTTTTTT